CCCCCCGCCCTAACTCCGTCGTATGCTATCGCGCGCCGCGAACCGAGCCACCTGGACACGAGAGGGACACGGTCCGTCGTCTACATCTCGGATCGGTCCACCCGCACCCGCTTGCGCATTCTCGTCCTGGATCCTCGAGCGATCCCCGAGGGAGAAGGACGGATAAGGCGTACCTGTTACGCCGTCGTGGCGCCTTCTGCGTCGCGACGTCCCTCCTAACACCTCCGTGTGCAGCGGTGACGACGGTCTTCGGTCGGTCTGCCTGTCGGGGACAGTGTATCCTGGCCGGACGTAACAACAGGTGAGGGTGTCTTCTCTCTCCCTCTCTCTTTCTCTCTCTCGGTGTCGTCCCCGCCGTCGAAACGGTACTGTCGAGCTGGGAGCACACTCGATACCTGGGGTAGCGGATTCGCGGCTCGTGAATCGAGAACGAATGGCGCGCGCGCGAAACGAAACGTCGTCGCCGTCGTCGTCGTCGTCGACGTCGTCGGGCAGCGAGCGAGCGGGCTAAAGCGAGTGAGCAGCGCGAGATGCGATGCCAACGCACGCGGAAGGCTCGCCTCGCGACGCCGCTCTGACGGCCGTCTCCTCGTCGACCCGGCCGTAGCGGGCCTCGCACCCTCTCTCCTGGTCCATCCTCACCACCCCCTGGCGCTGCGTGGTGCCGCGCGCGCGCAAGCGTAGCCGCAGGTGCGGGGGAGCGCGCGCTCCCTCACGGGCACCTCCACGCACCTTGCGAGGTAGGTAGGTAGGTAGGTAGATAGATATGTAGGTATGTAGGTAGGTAGGTAGATAGGTAGGTAGGTACGTGCCACGTAGGTGCCACGACCTCAGATGTCACAGGCACAGCCCGCTGGGGTCGAAACGTCCGACCCTGCTACGGTGTCTTTCACCTCCTCGCGCTGAAGTTTGACGACGGTTTGACTTGAGTAATGAGGGTGACGGGATGACAGGAAACCAAGCATTTTAAATGAAGGAACATAACATATATATATATTTTTTTTTGCTAAATATATGTGTATATTTTATAATATATAATATATAAATTAAATATAAATATTATATGTAATATATATATACATATTACGTAATACATATTATATATATATATATATAATATAAATTTTATATGTATATATTATACGTATATATGAAACGTATATTTAGCAAATGAGATGTATGTTTGATAGAAATGAACATTTGACAAATTGATTGGGTTATAAACATGTTTGGCGAGTTAATAACAGATTACCGCATTATATTTTTAAAGCTCTCGCTGCTGATTACGTCTCTTTGAATAATTTCCACACGATGTGTGGAACACATATGCGCTTTTTAATTATATGTAAAAAACATGTTGGCTCGTGTATCGCATCGTGAGAAATTTGGAAGCATATGAAATATATGCGCGACGCGATTGGTGCAACAGGCTTGTCATGTTTGTCCAATAAATTTGAAAATGAAATTATTGCTGTTTCAAAGTATCAACTAATAATTTTACGACAAGGTGAACAACATCGACTTGGTAATTTTTCAGAAATCTAACAAAATTTTTCTATTTTTTTTTTTAATATCTAAATCGACAAACTTTTATGAACTGAAATTTAATAAAGCGACGACAAACAAGCGACTTTGTAACAATCTGATAAATACGCGCGCAACTTCGTGGAGCAGATTGTGGTTTGGATTGTGTTGATAACACATTGGATTGTGCCATCCGATTGCGGCGTCGTTCGCACTTTCACTTCCAACTTTCCGCGGTATAATTTGCTAATAATTAATTAATAATTTAATAAGTCAACGGAGCTGAAACAGCAGTCGACGCGATAGTAATTATAACATAACATATAATCGCCTAACAATGTAATTTAATTTTGCGAAATAGATTTGCACGAACATGAGCGATACGTTGCCAGACTTTCGCCCTTTCGCACCGGGAATTACTATATCATTGACGCATAGAGAGGAGAAGGAAAATCTATATAATTCATGACTTATAATATCAGGTCAATGCGACAGATTTGTCGTTGTTCAACTAAATTCTGACCTGGAAAATTACCGATTCCGGTATTACACGTTCGCTACCACACCATCCACTTGGCAAACCATTCGCCACAGACCTTCCCGTATTTTTTTACGTAATAGAGTAAAACAGATATAATTTGTCGATGTGGGCGTAGAATGGAAACTTATCGTCGTTACATATTTGTGACGTCGGTGAGAAACAGTGTGTTACATATGTGTGACTCATACTAGTGAACGTGTTAAAAACGGTAGGAAGATCTCGTTAGATGTGTCGGAGAAAGAGACACGTAAATAGGGAGAATATATCACAGTTCCTTTTCGTATGAATTCTTTCCACTTTTATGATGTTTTAAGTAATGCACGAATAGACTCAATAAGGTCTGTCTTGCACAGGAGCATAGTATATTTCGCTAGAGACAATAAATTTCGCTAAGAACACCAAAATAAATATATGTGTTCAATAACACATTTCAATTTCCAAATAAAAGGGTAGTCGATTACTGCAGAACGATCTATTCCTCGGTGACGAAGTTCCATATTAATTTTTACTACAAAACTCTCCCCCTGAGTCAGCAATACATGTAACCTCATTGTCACCTAATCTTTGCAACATAATCAACTGTTTCTGTGCGACAGCCATCTCTTACTTGTCGGTCTCATGCGCGCAGTCATGTATAACATTAATTAGGTAACATTACGACACGCCGCCCTCGAGTTGAGCGGCCGCTTACAACTCTGAACTTCAAAAATAACCCGATGCGAGGTGAGTAGGTAGTCCGCGACTTCTCGTGATTTCTGCTTTCTTGCAGCCCTTCGCACAGATATAAATAGACCGGCGCATTCAACGACTTCCGTGGGGGAGGACGCGCAAGCCGGGCATTGAGATTCTCACACACACACACACACACACATACACTTGAATGATACTTTCTCCCGTTGCCGCGTGGGCGTTTGCACCTCGTGCTTCGTCACCCCACGCACTGCCGCTGACAGGTGTCGCTCGTGGAGGTGAACGCGAAATACCGCGATTCCCACAGCCCTCCCAATTTTATCACGTCTATCCAGCTCGTGCCGGGAAAATCGTTACGTTCGCCGTGAACAGGTGAACGTCTCGTTAAAAGTCGCACGCGCGACACATGTGTGTGCGGCGTGTTCTCACCGTTCCTCCATTGATCTTTTATCGGCCTGATCGTATCTTTGATGTCGCGCGGTCGTTAGCGGGAATAATGGGCCTCGCAGTGCGATTCTGTAATTCGTCAACGAGTCGTGAACGAGTTGTCGTTAACGTTGCGCAGGTGTAGAATATACCTGCTTAGAAAAGATGCGCAGACACACAGTTCTAGTGATATTGTCGTCAACGACAGTTAACGAGTTACAGAATCCAACTACTACGTGGCTATTTCCGTTCGGAGACAAGCCAGTGTAATCCGAGCAATCGAGTGCTGTTACTCTCGCACGACGAGTTTTGCTTTCGGCATCGATTCACTCAAGGAAAGAATTCTCGTCGCAAGCTGTTATTTCCTGTGACCTCATACTCCAAGTAAAAACTTTTATCGAAAGATAAAACTCCTTTAATGAGGTGGACTATTAATCGCAAATCTACCAGATGTTGTCCCAACTTTTGAAATAAGACTGGTACTATAGATAAAAGACAAAGTTCTCCGAACGTTAAGAATATTGTACTTGAAATATTTCCCTTTTAATTTCACAAGGATCCTCTTGATGAATCATGCACAGGGTGCCTGACACTAAGCGTCCCATATCTCGTATATACGTAGATTAGGTTAAATTCAACACAAAATTACTCTGTCATTTTGTAAACAACTGTAAAGTTGTTATTGAAGGATATTAGCGAATAATCGATACGGAAGTAAAAAAATTGCCACAGCGACACTTGCCGTTGTGTGTGCTTGTAGATTAGGTCAAACTTGGCAAGCAACGTCTTCTACCATTTTGCAAATAGCCACATGGATTTTTCAGTTATTAATTAAAGAAAATTGGCGAACGATCGCACGTGATAATGCACCAATGTCCTTTAACTGATCATTAAAAATCTACGTAGTTGTTTGCAATATGATAGAGAAATTTTGTATTCAGTTTGTCCTAATCTACATGTACACAAGGTGTGGCTTGGTGTCAGACACCCCGTGTAAGAGTGAAATCTTCCAAGATTCAGAAAATTTCGCTAAGGATGGGATTATATATATTTTAGGTGAATAGAAACGCCTATGCATGAGTTTTATAGTGCAACAAACAATAAAACAAAGAAGTGTTGTTTTTGCCGTAATATCTAATCACGATAGGGGAGGTCGGGGCTATTTAGCTACCAGGATAAGACAAAATCGATTATCTTTACTATTCTTTAACAGACTTCAGAATCTAGCAAGCAGGGATTTCAAAGCCATTTTTAACATGTTTAAGAAAAAATCTTATTTGCTTAATTTTGTAACTTACTTTAGAATATATTAGAAATAACCGGTTTTGCCAACGGTAAGTCCAACTACCCCGGTCTCTCCTATAATAATCCAAACGCGTTTCAGTGTCCGAACAATTGCTGTTTACTCGAATGTCGTTTCGCGCGATGTTTATATTGCATCATTTATTTATTACAAACACGTAATTATTCTTGTGCCTCGCGATAGAGCGAGATGCGGGGAAATATGTCGCTTTCGCGCGTCGCTCATTTAAAGAATCACCCTGAAGAGCGGCGATTATCAACACGGTGACAATCGCTTGGCCATCAGCGGGAAGGGTGAAACATTTTCAGCGAAGTGGTGCAATCCTCAGCGATTATTCGACCGCGCGCCACGTAGCACTAATGAAATTTCAGTGTACGAAATCGTGTTAGGTAGTCGAGAGCGTAGTAGATAAAGACGGCCTTTTGACGTACGGTTCGCTTGGATTTGTACGGTTAAAGTGGATTTCCCGGACACGTCGTTTGTCCGAGCATCTTTTCGGGGTCGACAGGATCGCCGCGAACGCTGGTTAGGGGGTGGCGCAGAGGGGGTTCGGGAGGGGGGATTTGCCACGATCGTCGTAACTTTCGCCCATGATTGATACAGTCGGTATCATCCGATTATCTCGTTGAGCCGTTAGAGATAAAGTCCGTTGGGCGATCAAAGTCGGTCCCGATCATGCTGCGAAAGAATGGTCGCGCCGCTCTCGACCGGCGCCTCCGAGCCGTGGAAACGCCGCGATTTTCACAGCATCGATATCCCCCCCGCGGATCGTGGTAAATGTGAAATATTTGCGTTCCTCCTGGATTCGTATCTGGATGAAGGCGTTCCAGAGAACATTTTTGGCACGATTCCGTGGCTGAGAACACCGCACACGTTCTCGTCTACTGACAGTACGATAATCGATGTCTCATCCGCGATGTAAACCGCGAAATGTTTGGCCGTTACGAGAGACATTTGCCCCCCTTCGTGTGGAAGATGACTGACGAATATTTGGGAAAATTTTAGAGACTAAATTAACATGCCTATATAAACGCGAAATGTAAAGTGAGGAAAGAGTAAAGAAAAAATTCACCGTA